AAGTGAGTTTTATATTATATTGCAATGAGTTTTACACTATATGGCAATAAAATAAAACTAACTCAAAATAGTTCATACACACAAATGTAATGTGCAAAACTATAAAATTTCTAGAGGAAAACATAAGAGAAAATCTATATGACCTTGGGTTTACTGATGAGTTTTTAGATACAACACCAAGAGCACAGTTCATGAAAGAAAAAAAATTAGTAAGTTGGACTTTATTAAAATTAATTTTTCTGCTCTGTGAAAGACACTGTTAAGAAAATTTAAAAAAAAAAACTCACCAACTGGAGGGAAATATTTGCAAAACAAATATGTGACAAAGAACTTTGTGATAGTCCATTTTAATGTGTCTTCTTGGCTGTGGCATGCGATGCCCACACGAAACATTATTGCTGGGTGTGTCCTTGAAGGTGACTCCAGACGAGGTCAGCATTTAAACTGGTGGACTCAGCAACAGAGATTGTCCTCCCCACTGCAGGTGTTTAAACTGGTGGGCTCAGCGACAGCGATTGTTCTCCCCACTGCAGGTGGGCACCATGCCATTCACCGAGGGCCTGAACAGAGCAAAAAGGTGGAGGAAGAAGGAATTCTCTCTTTTCTTCTTCCTGCCAGCCTGCATGAGCAGGGCCATTGGTCTTCTTCTGGCCTTGGACGGAAATTTATACCATCAGGTCCTCTGGTTCTGTTTCTCTTGAGAACACTAATACAGATTTATGTCCAAAATACACAAAGAACATTTATAACTCAACAATATGAAATCAGGCAAACCAATTTAAAGATGGGCAAAAGATCTAGAAAGCTACCTCTCCAAAGAAGATAGACACATGGCAAATAAGCACATGAAAAGATGCTAAATATATATTATAATTAAGCAATTCCAAATTAAAACAACAAGGAGACCCCACCCCACGTCTGTTAGAAAGGAGAAAGTGTTTTAATTGATGACACCAAATGCCGGTGAGGATGCAGAGCAATGGGAACTCTCATTCGTTGCTGGGGGATGCGAAATGAGCCCGCCGCTTTGGAAGACATCGTGGCAGTGTCTTATAAGGCTAAACAGAGTCGTACCACATAACCCAGAAGTTTCGCACCTACATATTCACCCGATTGGTTTGAAAATTTTGTCCACACTAAAGCTTCCACTGATTGTGGCAGCCTTTATAATCATCAAAAACTGAAAGCAAAGAAGGTATTTCTCCATTGGTGAGTGGATAAACTGTGGTACATCCATACAACAGAGTATTATCTAGCATTAAAATGAAACGCGCTACCAAGTCACGTGAAGACATGGATGCATCTTAAATGCATATTGCCAAGATTCCAGTCTGAAAAGGCTACGTGCTATATGATTCCATTTATATGACATTCTAGAAAATGCAAAACTGTAGACAGTAAACAGATCAGTGGTCACCAGGGGTCTCAGAGGGTGGGGAATGGGGTGGGTTAGTTGAATAAGTAACACATGGGATTATTTTAGGGCAGTGAAACTATTCTGTATAATACTATAATGGAGAATATATCACACTATGCATTTGTCAAAAACCATAAAACTTTACAGCACAAAGAGCAAATCTTCATGTATAGAGGCTTTTAAAAAATTATTGAGGAGGTTAGGTTAGCTAAGTGTTTTAATTTTTTGCAGAGTTGGGGTTCCACTTTGTTGCCCAGCCTGGCCTCAAATACCCAGCTCGAGCGATCCTCCTACCTCGGCCTCCCAAAGTGCTAGGATGACAGGCATGAGCCACAGGCCTGGCCTATGTTCCCATCTTTTTATAATTCAAAATAAACTTCAATAAACATCTTTGTAGCTAAATCTCTGAAATATGATTAATTACTTCTAGGAAATAAAATGGTTGCAAAGCTATGCTTAACCTAAAGATTTCGATAAATGCCAATAAGTGGATGTCAGGAAAAATTTTACGATCTTACCTTCTTGTAACTATTATATACAAGCATCTTCCTCCCTAAAGATTTGCTAAATATTTTAACCTCACAGGTTAAGTGTTGGCTTTAGGATTGTTTTGATTTACATTATCTTGATTGTGAGTGAGGTTAATCATTTTTCGCGTACATTTCTCCATTTTATTATTTTTGTTGTGTCTATTCACATACTTTGTTTACATTTTGATTTTATAGCTTTTCCTTTCCTTACACATGACTTTATTTACATTTGTCATGTAAGTCACAAATATTTTCTTCATGTAAAAATCTTTACGACAAAAAAAAATCCTTTGCAACCATCAGATTATATCATATGCCCCATGTTCAAAGTGGAAAGCTATTTCTTTTGTCTCATTTTGTCACTTACTCTCCTGAGCCTTCCCCTCCCTCCCTCCCTCTGCTCACCAGGGGCCACCATACCAGGCTGTTCGGTGGAGATGGGGTCTCACTTTGTTACCCAGGTTGGTCTCAAACACCCGACTGTCACGTGGTCCTCCGTATCTGGGCGGAAGTGGTGTAGGCAGGCGATGATGCTCTTTGCTTTTTTAAAATAGAGTCATACCTCTTGGTTTCCTCACTTACTAAACAACAACACGAGACTGAAAGTCCACCAGGCTCATTTTCCCAGGTCAACTCACCTCCGTTTGAAGTGGAGGTGACCACAGTGTTGGTGTCCTGCAGGTCCAGGAGATTCACACGCTGGCTGGAGCCCTGAGGCTCCATGTGGTCAGCAGCCCCAGTCCAGGGGAGAGAAGAGCCCAGTGTTTACACCCAGGGTCAGGAGTCACATCACAAAACCTGATCCTGCTCTACCCTGAGTCCTGGGGTGACACTGAGCAGTTCATTGGCCTCTCTGAGCCTCAGTGTTCACATCTGAAAAATGGGGACTATCACCAGACTTATCTCAGAGGAGAGGCACAAGGATTACACACAGTCTGTGTTAACTATGGAGTACAGCTCCTCACACAGAACACTCCTTAATAAATATCTGTTACCAACATCGTTATTTCTCTTTTATCTATGCATATAGAGAACTTCCTTTTGATGAGCCATGGGAAAAAATGAATTGTCCTGAAATTTGTTGGTAGAAGTATTGGGTCTTGTTATAGTCATGGTTGTTTTACTATGTTTAACTATAGTAGTTATTATGTTTGACTACTAGCAAGGAACCTAAACTAGCTAATAAATAAGTGAAATAATTGCGAATATGTCTGCTCTTTCTTGATGCATTAAAGACACTGAAAGGTGGCACATTTGCCCTCACCATGCCAGCAACTGCCAGGGCCTGGGATTTTGCGGACGTGCAGGCTGCCTTGTTGGCTCCATAGCGGCTGCAGACATGAGACTCGGGCCTTGTGACACTCATGGCACAGCGGCAGCACGAGCTCCGTGCTCACCGCGCAGAGCAGCCCGGTGGGAGCTGCCCCAGGACAGGCTTCGTCCCAGCCGAGGAGTCCCAGGCTTGGGACACCACAGTCTACAAGGCGCTGCCAGCAAAACTGCTGAACCCTCACCCTGAAGGGAGACGGGGCCTTTATCACCCTGGTGAGAAAGCAAAGCTGCCTTCTGCTCTGAAGGGAGACACCGTCTCTCGCTTCCTAGGCTGTGTGCTATGTGAATACCCTTGAAAAACAGCCCAGGACAAAAGCTGGACGTCCACGGTCACAAGCCCCAGCAACACCGTGGAGACCTGTCCCCAGACGCAGGGGAGCTATGGGAGAGGCCAGGGAAGGTTTGCCTGCTTGTGAGGCCTGGGGAAGGTCAACACTAGCCCCCTTTTTGAGATGTGTGTGATCTCCACTTCTTCTTCTGAGAAGTGAGACTGTGAAAGCAGCCACTTCTGTCCCAGTTAAGATTGGAGTCAAGGTGCACACACAGTGGAAGACGAACGGCCAGGATCCTCCTCTCACTGCTCACCCACTGTCACCCTCTTGGCTCTTTCACGAGAGGACTCAGCCACTAAACCACTTCCACAGTTTGTCATCGAAGCCTGGGGCTCTGTGGAGCCTTGGCTCCTGCCTCTGACCAGCCTGGAATCGGGGGCCGAGGCACTCGGGAAGCTTTTTCTGGGTTCTCTGATGCCACAGGGCAAGTTCAGGAGGCGCTGCTGGGTCTGCTGAGCATTTAGTGCCAAGCAAATCCACCACGCTATCCTGGGCCTGCTGTGGCCTTCTGGAAGCTCCTCACATTCTTTCCCTGCTCTCCCTGGCCCATGGAAGAGACTCTGCCATAGCCAGGACAAAGACGGCCTCCTGCCGGCCCCGGCGTTCTGTATTCCTGCAGAGGGACTGCTGGCCGTGCGTGGCCCAGAGCTTCCTGGCTGCCGCGCTGCCTGGGACCCGGCAGGCTCCACGGTTACCACCCTTGTGCTTCTCCAGGGCAAAGAGGACATGTCCCGAGAGCACTGAAAATCTGCGTTCAAGTCATTCTCATCTCAGATCACCCAGTCTCATTCGGAAGCCTGCAGAATGGACCACGTCCACTTGACATCACTCCCTGCACCATGTTGCCCAGGCTGGGCCTGAACTCCTGACCTCAGATGATCCACCTGCCTCAGCCTCCCAAAGTGCTAGGATTACAGGCGTGAGCCACCACATCAGGGCCAAAAGGAATCTCTTGAGCATAACTGAAGCCACCTGGAGATGAGAACTAGCTCTGGGCAAGCACATGCCCAGCAGCCTCTGGGTGGGAACAAAACGCAGGAGGTCAACTCTGCTGATAGCAAAGCTCCCAGTGCACCTGCAGCTCTGGGTTCCTAGCCTCCCGGTTCTGCTAAACGGCAAAGCTCCTCTGTGTACCTGCAGCTCTGAGCTCCCATCCTCCCAGCCAACGCCTGGCCCCCTCTCCCAGGCCCAGAGAAAACAGTGGAAGCCCCAGCGAGTACAGCTAGGAAGCAGGCTCTCGGAGGGTCCTGTCCGTCCCGAGCTTTCGGAAACCGTCTGTTTTCTCCTAGGCCCTCCCTGTGCTGCCGGCCTGTGTGGGTGCAGCGTCTCCTCTCTGGTCTCCTGTTGCTAATTATGGAAAATGTTCATCTCTGCTTTTTGTGCTGGGCCAAAGTTCCAGTGTTAGAGTTGTTTCCAGTGGTTTTCTCAAGGAGGCTTTTTTTCCCACTCACACGCTCTGCAGTTTGACATCACAGCTCCTTGGTGCTTGGGGACAGCGTCTCCATCCTGCTCTGTGGATGAGTGAGTGGGAGGCTTGGATGCAGCCTGCGACATCCCTCAGCTCCCAGCGTCCAGGGCCCATGTCGTGCCCCAGGTGGGCCTTCTGCCTGTGCTCTGTGGGAGGAGGGAGTTTAGGACCCCGTTCCCTGGCAGGGAGGACTTGCCACCATCAGATTGGAGCCTGGGCAGGTCTGTGGAGCCCTGTTTGGCCGCCTCGCTCAGCTCCAGCTACTCAAGTCTTCGCCGTTTACCCATCTATCCCCACTGATACGTGGGCTGCACTTAAGTGCGGGGTTAATGTCTGGAATGTGTGTCCTTCTGCAAAAGCAATTGGATCCTCGCATATAAAATTAATAGTGGCATTTCTCAGTTCATCCTGTCTAGAGCCCATGCCAGGTTTTCGGCAGAACGCCATCTCTGGGTGACCACACACATCTCCGTGGCTCAATGTTGGACCAAACCATCGAGAGCCTCTCTATCGCTCCAGCTGCCAGGTGTTCACCACGGGTCTGGGCTGCGCCAGGGAAACAGCAGAAATTCCAAATTAGAGACCAAACTCATGAATAGGTGTTTAATATTCTCCAAACATGGAAAGAAAAAAACACGTTTAGGTGAGTTGAAATGTTACAATGAGAGCACAGGTAAGCTCTTTCCTGGGCAGCAGGTAGCTTTGTGTTAGGGCTGGAGCCGCCGCCCTCACCTTGTTCACCACGTCAAGGATCGAATGCTGGGCAGGTTGCTCCGCAGCCCAGACTGAGCGCCCCACCGCCCACTACAGATGAGGAGCTGCTGTCCAAGCTGAGCCAGGAGGTCATTCTACACAAAAGAACCCAACCTCCACCAGCCAGAGCAAGGCTCCTATTTTCAGAGGTCACCTCCCTCTGCTGGTGCTCCTCGGTGCCCTGCCTGCATGTCCAGAACCCCCCAGGGCTAGTGTCTGCCTTCAAGCAGTGAGCAGCGGCCTTCTTCCGAAGAGCTCACGTTAGCAGATGCTCCCTAGCTGGAGAGACCCCAAGGCTGGGCCTGGGGCTGGAAAAACAGCGGGACCTCAGGGTGGACAGCGGGGCCTAACTGGGGGTGGTCATCGAAGGCCTAGCAGAAGAGGTGCCACTGCTGTCCCCTGACCCACCTGCCAGGAAGGCCCACAACCACTTCCAGATGGTCTCTGTGTCCCTTTTCCATGACAGATCCCACCAAGCCTGAAAGGAACATGAAAACACTGCCCATGATCCAAGCAGACACCTTCAATTCCCCAGGGGTGCAGGTGAGGGGTCAGCCTATGAAGCGGCCACAATTCTGCCACTTACTTCCTGGGTGGCCTTGAGCAAAAACACAATTTTACTGAGCTTGATGTCATCGTCTGTACATAGGCTGTGAGGCTCCACAAGGCCCAGGGGGCTGGAGGGGCTGGCGGTGGCCACACCAGGGAATGATGGGACAGGCAGGTAGCTGACGCCTGATCACCGGCCCTCAGGCTCAGCATCCTGGGCAGGTCTCTCTGGGTTGGGCTGGCCCATGACACCCACCCCAAGGGCATTGGCAAGGACCAAACACAGTGTGTGCAAGATGACTTTGTCAGTCGCCAAGAACTAAATAAATCCTGGAACTAGTATTATTATTATTTCTCGCAAAGTGCTTCTGAGCTGAGCAGATCAGGACAGCAACACTCATTAAAAATTCCAAGTGACTCCACATGATTTGCTGACCTTTGCATTAATTCTTGCCTTTTCTCTCCTCATTAAATCCTATTCCTGGAGCTGTTATTAGCTCCCCAGCCTCTCCCCTGATTAAATAATGACCCAGGATCACTCACTTAGGTGTTTCCCATTTTCACTTTAGCTCCGGCCCTGGGCGCCCCACCCTGGATGCGATTGCACTTGTGGCTGGTGCTGGCTGATTAGACGAACATCACTAAATCGCCCAGACTCCTATGCACGGAGTGTGCCTCTCACACCAATTATTAAAAGCTTGCGATTTTTGGGGGGGGCGGGGTTGGAAGGACTTCACTTTTACAAATAATTAGGTTGGGATTTGATCTTCCCTGCAGTGAAAGGACACTAATGACTCCCAATCTATCCAAATTCTTATCTTGAAGGTTGGGACAGTACGAGGAGTTCTTCCTGCTGACAGCAGAGAGGAAGCCCTCAGCACAATGTCTTCTTTTGAATGGAACCAAGGCCACCTTGTTAGCCGGCACTTGAGCATCAAAACAAGTCTTTAAGATGACCCAAAGAAGCACTGATTCCCTACAGCCCCAGCCCATGTTTTCTCAAGCATTTACTGACTTAAATTAGAAATAATGGCTCTGGCTGGGTGAAGTGGCTCACACCTGTAATCCCAGCACTTTGGGAGGCCAAGGTGGGCGGATCACGAGGTCAGGAGGTCAAGACTATCCTGGCTAACATGGTGAAACCCCATCTCTACTAAAAATGCAAAAAATTAGCCGGGTGTAGTGGCAGGCGCCTATAGTCCCAGCTACTCCAGAGGCTGAGGCAGGAGAATGGTGTGAACCCAGGAGGCAGAGTTTGCAGTGAGCCAAGATCACACCACTGCACTCTAGCCTGGGCAACAGAGCAAGACTCTGCCTCAAAAAAAAAAGAAAAATCCTGGCTCTGATTTCTGGCAGGTACACATGCTGCAGAGTGAGTTTTAAAGTGGGTTTGAAGTTCAAGAAGGATCCATCCAAAAAATCCAATTCAAATATGGGCAAAAGACTTGAACAGACATTTCATCAAAGAAGATATACAAATGGCCAATAAGCCCATGGAAAGATGCTCAACATCACTAATCATCTGGGAATTGCAAATCAAAACTATCCTGAGATATACCTCACATCTTGATAGCCACTATCAAGAAGACAAAAATTAGCAAATTAACTACCCATATTCCATAATTGCAAAGTGCTCCTGGGCAGAGCAGACCAAGACAGCCTCGCTCGTTAAAAATTCCAGGTGACTCCACGTGATTTGCTGACACTCACATTCATTCTTCCCTTTTCTGTCCTTGAGTGTTAGAAGGGGATGTAGAGTAATTGGAACCCTGGGCACTGCCGGTGGGGGTGCAAGATGGTGCCTCTGCTGTGGAAAATAGTGTGTCCGTTCCTCACAAACTTAAAAACAGAATTACCATACGATCCAGCAAATCCACTCCTGGCTTAACTAGGTGTGGTGGTGTGCACCTGTAGTCCCAGCTACTCGGGAGGCTGAGACAGGAGAATCGCTTGAACCCAGGAGGTGGAGGTTGCAGTGAGCCGAGATTGCGTCATTGCACTCCAGCCTGGGCAACAAGAGCAAAACTTTATCTCAAAGAAAAAAAAAAAAAAGTCCACTCCTGGGTATACACCTGAAAGAACTGAAAGCAGAGGATCACACAGATCTCTGCACCCCCATGCTTACTGCAGCACCATTCACAGCAGCCGGAAGGTGGAAGCCACCTGAGTCCATTGTTGGACGACTGCATGAACCAAATGTGGTCTCTCTGGACAATGGAATATTATTCAGCCTTAAAAAGAAGGAAATCCTGATACATGCTACAACCTGCACACACCTGAAGACATTGTGGTGCGTGAAATAAGCCAGTCACACAAGGACAAATACTGTGTTATTCTACTCATGGAAGGAAACTGGAGTACTAGAATTCACAAAGAAAGAAAGCAGAGTGCTGGTTTCCAGTGGCTGGGGAAGGGGAGATGGGAAGCTGGGTCCAGGGAGAGCAGAGTGGTTTGTGGTCCTGTTCTAGAAAAGTCTCTACTTGGCCAGGCGTGGTGGCTTACCCCTGCAATCCCAGCACATTGGGAGGCCAAGGCAGGTGGATCACTTGAAGTCAGCAGTTCGAGACCGGCCTGGCCAACATGGCAAAAACCCATCTCTACTAAAAACACAAAAATTAGCTGGGTGTGATGGTGAGCACCTGTAATCCCAGCTGCTCAGGAGGCCGAGGCAGGAGAATTGCCTGATCCTGGGAGGCGGAGGATGCAGTGAGCTGAGATCATGCCACTGCACTCCAGCCTGGGAGACAGAGCAAGACTCTGCCTCAAAAAAAAAAAAAAGGAAAACTCTCTATTTGACCATATGAATGGGGTTCTTTACCCATGGGAAACCTATGTGGACTCTTCAACTGAGGACTTTATTACAAAAAATAGACTGATACAAGCGAAAGGACTTTGGAGCAGCCTTTGAGTCTTAAAACCTGGCAGGTGGGTTTTCCTCCCCATGGAGGAGTTGTCCTTGCTGAGGGAGAGCTGCCACTGCTGCTGCCCAGGCCTTGGGAAGAGATTGCTGGAGGTTTGTTGAAAAGCTGAGGGCAAACGGGGTCATGATTCACCAGTGGTTCACAATAAGAGTCGTAGTAAATTTCATCCTAAATCTACTTAAATGGAGATGAGGGGAAACTGATCCACGTGAAGAAGAATCAAAGGAAGGGGTTGAGGAAAGGTGGTCTCGCCAACGTGGAGGCGGTTGTCGTCCCTAGCCACCTGCCTCCCGCCGCCCTTCAAGGCAGCGCAATGCTCCCAGCATGCACAGGGGTGGCTGGATCTCCCCTCCCTGGATTCTGGGGTTTTCCCAGCATGCACCACGGCAACCTGGACCACCGCTGCAAAGAGAAGGGTAGGTTGGCTGCAGGGAGAGAGAGACGGCCCAGCGCGGTGGCTCATGCCTGTAATCCCAGCACTCTGAGAGGCCAAGGTGGGAGGATTGCTTGAGGCCAGGAATTCAAGACCAGCCCGGCACCATAGTGAGTCCCCATCCCTACAAAGAGAGAGATGAGCTCTAAGCCTTCTGCCAGAGCCACGCTTTCCCAAACACACAGGGCTATTGCATTTAATTTTTTTTTTCTTTTGAGATGAAGTTTTCCTCGTTGCCCAGGTTGGAGTGTAATGGCACGATCTCGGCTCACTGCAACCTCCATTTCCCGGGTTCCAGCAATTCTCCTGCCTTACCCTCCCAAGTAGCTGAGATTACAGGTGCCCACCACCACACCTGGCTAATTTTTTGTGTTTTCAGTAGAGAGAGAGTTTCACCACGTTGGCCAGGCTGGTCTCAAACTCATGACCTCAGGTAATCCACCTGCCTCAGTCTCCCAAAGTGCTGGAATTATAGGCATGAGCCACCATGCCTGGCCTAAATTCAAATTAATTATAATGAAATGAAATCTGAAAATCAGTTCTTCAGCCACACCAGTCACATTGCCAGTGCTCAGCAGCTCTGTGTGTCTGGAGGCTGCTGCACTGGGCAGCAGAGACCTAGAACACTTCATTTTGGTGGGAAGTTCTAGAAGGTTCTATTCACAGAGCTCTCCTGGGGAGTAAAACTCAGATTCTGACCTTTCATCTTGGTGGGAAGTTCTAGAAGGTTCTATCACAGAGCTCTCCTGGGGGTAAAACTCGGATTCTAACCTTTCATCTTGGTGGGAAGTTCTAGTCACAGAACTCTCCTGGGGGTAAAACTCAGATTCTGACCTCAGGGCCCCATTCTCCCAGCCTGGGAATGAAGGTCCTAGACCTGGAGGATTGGTTGTTTCGAGTCTACTTCAAGAATTCCACAATTCCAGCAGCAAGAGGAGACACTTGAGGGGACTCCGCCTTCCTGCCCAGTTGCGGGGTGGACACTCCCCAGATACTCCACAGTTGGGAAGTCAGAAATGAAGCCGCAGTGGTGCTGGTCTCCCAGGAAAATGGAGGGCAGCTTCAGCTGGGCTGGGAAGAATGATATTGTTGGTGAGTAATCTCAGACGACATAAATCCACATCTACTAATAAAATCTCCAGCATCATCTATGTAAGGCAGAGTTGACTTTTCACCTCCTAAAGCCTTCATAATTGCTCCTATTTTTATGCCAGAATGTTATCTCTGTTGAAATGTTGGGATTTTTGCATCCTAGTAAAAGTGTTAATAAGCTGTATTTAAGACCTTATTTGCAATTATGTTGAGCCAACTAAATAAAACAAGACTGACTTTCACCCCATTTAAGGGGTAAAATTGAACTGCTGCTATTTTAACAAATATTTTAAAAATCAGAGCTGATGAACATGTTAACGATGTCTAAAATAAGTGTATTTAATTTGTGATGATAAACGTATGAGGCCATCACCCACCAATCCTTTGTTGAAGGGGTGGGGAGGACACAGGAACGGGGGGCAGGCAACAAAGTGCCTTTGGCGGGGCCGGGCTGCGGGGCCTTCCCACACGCCTGTCCGTGGTTTCCACTCATCTGAGAGGCAGAGTTTCCAAAGCACCGCCTTCCCCTTGAGTCAGCACATGTCCAGCAGAGGCGAGTTCAGAGGAGCTCTGTGGGGGTCCTTGGGTCCCCAGGACCTGTCTTGCCAAATACTTTCCACAGCTCAATTCACCAACAATATCACCTTTCTTCCCCCGAAGTGTCACATGCTGTCATCTTTAAAAGGTAAAAATGAGCCCAAAGACTAAAATCCAAATCAATTCCCAGGCAAAAGCTTCAAAACCTTCGGATAGTCATGTCTTGAATAAACAGCAGAAGTTGGTTTAGATCAAAAGGTCTGAGTGACTGAAGCTGACGTCACCCACCAGCCTGGGGGGAGGGAGGGGCCAGGCAGGGACAAGCCTGCCCAGGACCAGGTCCCCTCACGCTCGCCTACTGGGATCACACCAGGGGACAGAGCCTGGAAACTGAGGCTCTCCAATCGGAGCAACTCATCCAAGATCTCCCACGGAGTAACTACGGGGCCCGACGGCCAAGTTGGGCAGGACGACACCTGCCCCAGGGCTGCCGGGGCTTTCCCCAGCGAGTGAACTTGCTGCACCAGGGATCTGGAATGTGGCCTGGACCCACCAGCCACACAAAGAAAATGTCCTACAAATTTGATTAACTCTTTTGTAATGCAGATATTTCACTATGTATAATATACTTACTCATTTTAATATAGAAGACAATGTTTCCGTGAGTCCTCGTGGAGGAAGATCAGTGCTCCGGGAAGATGCATCGTTTTCATGCAGATACATGGTGTATACATTGTGTGCTTCTGTGACTCGGCGGTGAGGGAAGCGATCGGCAATCTGGCCTGAGGCTGGATTACAGACGGGAGCTCCGCCCAGCAGATGGAGAGTTGGCAAAAGACACACATTTTCTTTTCCTGGCATTAGCTTCTTATCAGCCTAGATCACATGATTAGGGATGAGGCAAGGAGACTTCCAACGCGAGAGCACGCTTACTCACACGCCTTCCCGTGAAGCTCACTGCCCGCAAGTCACAGGGTGTGGCCCGGGGCCCAGAGCATCCAACTCATGGAATCACACGTCCTTCATGGCAAACTAGTGACAATAAACAACATGTACCATTCTAGACCAGCATTCAAGTCCTCAAATATCCTGCAAATGCACCCAAATTACTCTTTTACTGTTATTTATATTATTTATGGAGTCTCGTTTTTTCAAGTAAATTATTCTCTGCTTGACTCTGATATATTAGTTTGAAATGACAAGTATTAAAATAGTGAACACAAAATGAGCTCCCAGATAAAGGAAAATGAATCTTCAGTGCTAGTGATAGAAGTTCCTGGAACCCTGTTTGAAAATCTGTGTACTTAGAATATCAGGTGACTGAGAGACGCAGTGAAGTGTAATGAGTCACACTCCGTGCTCCTCGGCATCGTCTTTGTGGCAGGAACTCTGTGAGGTTACACAGCCCTGAGGGGTCTCGAGTGTCTACAGCATGGGGCGCCCACTGTTCTCAGCTGCAGATTTCAGACACCCTCACAGGCTGAGTCCAACCAAGAGGGAATCGGGAGGCTGGGCCCAGGGTCCATGCAGGCCCTGCCCTTGAGTCCTGCAAAGGTTTTCTGACCAGCTGGGTGTACCAAGCCACAGAGGGTTCTGGGAAGTCCTCCTGGGGACTGGAGGTCGGAACTGAGTTCATCAATCTGTAACCAGAAGAATCAGAAATCCCTGCTGTCTCGGACCAGTGGAGTCTCACCATGACCGGGAGCTACCAGACAAGAAGGAGAGGAGAACATGGAGTCTTCCCAGCTCTGGAATTAACAGCAGGGTATTAACCCCGACTTCAATATAGGAGCCTTTAGTCCCAGCCAGGGACACAGTTCAGAGGCCCCGTTCCCAGCAGCCAGAGTCCACGGCAAACCTTAAGCAGGCCCGGGGGTCTCTGTGGTCCCTGAAGGCAGAGACAATGGCAATCAGTGGGAGCCTTGGTCGCACCCCAACTCAACTCACCTGAGGCTTACATAGGGGGTCCTCTGTGAACAAGCACCCCCATGGTGTGCACCCTCAGAGAAGTGGAGGCCCACCCTGGCCCTCCAGGAGACACAGGGCTGCGTGCTGTGTCTTGGGACATAATTCTGGTCCCTTCCCTTTTGTTTCCCAGGTAATGTCTTCCCAGGAAGTCCTTCTCGCCTCCTCCACCCCACCCTCAAAATGCCAGGAGCCTGGGTGGGTTTCTGAATCCACCACGGTTGCTTTTGCTGCCACCAGGTGCCACTGCTGTGGACAAGTTCCCCCCAAGGACCGGGGTCCCCGCAGGTCCTCAGCGGCACCCACCCCTGGACTCTGGGCTTAGTGCATCCTTGCTTCATGCTATGGCCACAACCACCGCCCCAAACACCCCATGCATCAGGGAGGCCTCACGGGGCCCAGTTGTCACCACACCTGCTGAACCCGCCTCCTACTCAGCCAGACCCCGGGCTCTCCCTTCCCTCAAGCACCCTGTGATGTCCCCGGGTCCCGCCCTGCCTGGGATCTAAGTCAGGGTCCTCCTAATCCAACAGAGGAGTTGCCCGAATGCTGGGCCTCACAAGGAAAGGATCTCTAACTGGATCCCATCCTCCAGAAGTTCCCAGGCTGTCACGCCCTCCCGGGGACCTCAGGGAGGCAGCCCCGGTCCGTGATTCCATGAAAGCAAAGAACCTGCTGCTGACCCCCCGGAGCTGCACGTCCACTCTCACTAACCACACAGGGGAGAGGCCCCGGCTCGTCCTCACACTGCACTCGGAGCAGGCAGGACCCAGGCGGCCCAGGCTTGGCAGCTCCCTCTGCCAAGAACAACCCCAGGTGGCGGTGGCTAGGGGCCCGGCTCCAGGTTCCACCCCCGCTAGGGAGCTGTTTCCTGAGTGAACAGTGGTACCAGGCATGACGGGCGTTGGGGGAACGCAGGCAACGCAGCAACCCTGGACGCTGGCTTTGGAAGGGGTGGACTCTGCTCCTAGGTGCTCTGGGGACGCCCCCATTCCTGGGTCGTAGCAGCACTGAGCAGAGGCCCTAGGCACTGGAGCTAGTTCTGGCCACTTCCCCTCCACAGCCTGGCATGTCCGCACCTGCACCCTGCAACCAATCCCTGCAGGAACCCCTTCAAAGTCAGCGGATGCCTCAGGCTGTGATTCTCCTCAGTAGGGGACCCCCATAAACAAGGAGGCCTGTTTCTACAGGCAGAGCTTCCTGGAGATTTGGGATTCAGAGCAGACATTAATTCTACTTTTTTTTCTTGAGACAGTCTTACTCTGTCACCCAGGCTGGAGTGCAGTGGTGCAATCTCAGCTCACTGCAATCTCCACCTCCCAGGTTCAAGCGATTCTCCTACCTCAGCCTCCAGAGTAGCTGGGACTACAGGCACATGCTGCCATGCCCGACTAATTTTTTGTATTTTAGTAGAGATGGGGTTTCACCGTGTTGCCCTGGCTGGTCACCGGCTCCTGAGCTCAGGCCATCCACCAGCCTTGGTCTCCCAAAGTGCTGGGATTATAGGCAAGAGCCACCATGCCTGGCCAACATGAATTCTTTAATTCAATAAGCATGTCTCTGGTCTACCCCAGAGCTCGGTGGGAATTCCTGGGAGGCCAGGAAGGACAGGCTGAGGCCAAGGACAAGGTGCTCAGGCCAGGCCCAGTGCCATGCAGGGACACCTCAGAGGCTCTGACCAATTCCACCAGGAGAAAGCAGAGTGGCCCAACCACACCCACCCCAGAAGGAAAATGCCTCATCGTGGAAGGTCTTGTCTGGCTTCCTCAGTATCTCTTTCCTCTGTGCTAGAAAATGGCTTTGTTTCCCTCAGGGTGCTGGAACAGGACCCCATGCAACTTCTTCCAGGAAACTGGCCCATGTGGCCGCTCTGGGAAGCCCTCATTCCTGCATCCTGACACCTGCTCTTCCAAGGGGAAGATTCCACGGAAACAAACTCCTACCCCCCACCTGAGACCCCTCCACCCTTAGACTCCATTCTGGAGGGCTGGAGCTTTGAGAGGCATCTCCACACTCACCCAGCCAGTGCTTCCCTGGCTGGGGGTGGGGGCGGGTCAGGGTTTGGGGGGCAGCCCCCGAGGAGGTGCGCACTCACCTCCTGGCTGCTTCCTGGGACGCTCGGCAATGCTACGCATGCCCAGCCCTGCTCCAGAAATGCAAAGTTGAGGGACCCGTGGAAAGGGTGGAGGTGTCCTTGTAACCAGCAGCACATCTGCAATTGCACCCACCATCTGGCAAACCTACTTCTTTTCTCTTAATGTTACTGGCCCGATTTGGTGACGTCAATAAGCAAAGCTCTAAACTCAACATCACAAAACCTTTTTGAAGACTGAATCGCAACAGAATCTCCCACACTTTCTTCCTCAGAACTCGAGTGGAAACCAGATTAATATTTAAAATGAAATAGTCATGGAATATTTTAATAGCATTTCTCAGAGACCCGAATTTTGTTCCCCAGTGGCCAACCCAGGAGGAAGGTTTTGTGTCCAAACTTAGGAGAAATGAGCTTTTTTTTTTCCTACCTGTTTCTTATAAGGTGAATGAAATGGGCTTTTTCTTTGTTTTTTCTCTTTCTTTCAGAGAGTGACAGGAAAATGCCTCAGTTTCCTCCTCTCTAAAACAATGAAAGTTAAAAGGTGATGACAGATGAAAAAGGTGGAGGAGAATGAGGAGGAGCTCGAGGAGGAGGGGAGAGTAGTCTTGGGAAACAGAACCTGAAAGTTGTGATAAATTTCAGCAATGCTATGTCTCGCTTCAGATGTCCTCCTGCGTGTTTTGCAGACAACTTAGCGGAAGTCCAGCGAAAAGTGAAGTTGCCTTTAAAGATCCGGCTCCCAATCCTTTCAAACGAGGTACGAGAGCGCCACCCCGCGACAAGTCCCTGTCATCGCTGTTGCTTGCGTTTGCTCTCTGAGCCCCTCCTCTGATCTGGTGCGTCTGCCTCCTCCTGCCGGGAGCATTCCAGGAAGGAGCCAGGAAGCGAGAATGCACCTCCCCAGGGGCTGCCGGCCAAGCCCTGAGCCCTGCCCTCCCTCCCCAGCCAGGGAAGCACCGGCTGGGCGAGTGTGAAGGTGCCTCTCAAGCTCCAGCCCTCCAGAATGGAGTCTAAGGGTGGAGGGGTTTCAGCTGGGGCGGGTAGGGGCGGGAGTTTGTTTCCATGGGAACTTCCCCTTGGAAGAGGCAGGTGCCAGGATCTCCTGGTCAGGGAGGATGTTTGCCTTCGGAATGGGTCCCAAGTCTAAATTATGTAGGCCTTGTCTACACAACCCGCCAAAGAGTGTTTTTGCCCCGCCTGCCCCTCCCCAGAGGATATGGCAGTGGCGCTGAGGGGCCTGGGTCCTCCCCTCCAACTGGATCTTAAGGAAAAGTGAGCCACAGGCCACTGCCCCCCAACACCTTCAGCTGCTTCTGCCTCAAGGGGGATGCTGCCCTCTGTTTCTGCACAGTTTGTGTGTTTGGGGGCAGGCCCAGGCCCATGACGGGTGCAGGGCTTTGTCTCCCATTGGGTGGCTGTGGGTGGCCCTGTTCCAGGCCATCAGCAGAACCCTTGGAGCCCCAGCCCCAGCCTCAATCCCAATCCTCTGGGTGTGGGAGGGTGGACATGCCCAGGCATTAGGGCACAGTCCCCAGGAACCACACAGGGCCTGAAGGGGCTTCCACCTGGACCCAGGCTTCTCCATCCCCTCCCTTGCAGGGAGGCTGGCATCCTGGACACAGGGTCAGGGGTCGAGCTCAGGCTCTCCTGGTGGCTGGAGGAGACCCCACAGTCCCTGCCTCCCCTCCACAGGCCCCACTGCCCACTTCTCTCTTCTTAGCTCTTCCTGTCTTTCAAGGCAGCCTTCTTGTCTCTTGAGGCCTAGAGGGAGGGGACCACTAACCAATTCCCTGCCAATGGTCTCTGCAGGCCCCATCCCATTCCCCACCCAGCTGGTCCGCCCACCCTCGCCTGGAGGCCAGGATCGGAGGGGAATAAAGAGAAGCACCTTCTCCTGCTCAGACTCAGGTTTCAGACTCCAGGCCTTGCTTGCCACAAAGTAGCCATGTGA